TAAGCAGAAGAGCGATCTGTAGGGAGGAGAGGGGGTAGAGGTGGGGTCTACAGAAGATAGGAATTGGGTCAGTGGAGGCCACCCAGTTCTCTCTCAGGCAGAGAGAACCTTTATGGTTTGTACAAACTTCCCTTCTTCCTGCCTGGGAGTCGTCTTGTTCAGGATGCTGAAGCCGGGGCAAAGTCTCCATGCGAGCCTCGTTGGGAATTTTGTTGTTTCATGCACGTCTCTATCCGCCCACCCCCAGGAGGTGCTGTTCAATCAGTAGCTGCTTACCGAGCACCCACCATGGACTGGGCCCTGGGTGGGGCACTGAAGGGAGAGCTGATGAGACTGGACTCTTGCCCTTGGGCAGCGCACAGGCCAGCGGGGAGACAGGCAAGTGGCTGTGGCGGTGGCTGTGGCTGTGCGCGGTAGTGAGGACTCGGATGTGTGTGGTCTGGGGACCCTTGACAGGTTTGTGAAGTAGAAAAGGCGGCAGAGCGAGTCCGAAGGGCGTCCTGGATGATTACACTGCGCACGCTCCATAAAGAAGTGGAGAGGGCATGTAGGAATAGGGGCAACTTGTGCAAAGGCAGCAAGTGTGTAACTAACTGTAAAGGGTTTGTAGTCCGCCCGTGGCAGTGCTGAGCAAAAGGGAGTAGGGTCAGGTGTGTGTCTTGAAGGGATTGTCCTGGTGGATGATTCTGTACATGTGAGGCATAGGGTGAGTGAACGTGAAGTTCCAGTCGTCAGCACTCGCATTAATCATGACGTTTGTCAAAGACCGACACGTTTGTGCACCTGGTGTAGACGATCGACTGTTGTTCAGGCAGAGCAGCTTGCTCGGATGGACTGGAGTAGCCCGCTGGGCTTTTGTTTTGTTGTTTTTTGAGTTGGGTCTCACAGTGTCACCTAGGCTGGATTGTAGTAGCGCACTTGCTCACTGCAGCCTTGACCTCCTTGGCTCAGGTGACCCTCCTGCCCAGGCCCCTGAATCTCTGGGTCTGCAGGCACACGCCATCATGCTTGGATAATTTTTTGATTTTTTTTTGTAGAGACGAGGTCTCACTACGTTGTCTACACTGGTCTCAAACGACAAGGCTCAAGTAGTCCTCCTCCGCCTCCCAAAGTGCTGGGACTACAGGGACCCGGCCCTGCTGAGCTTTTTGAATGGAATATCACAAACAGTTCCGTTCCCAAGCTTATCGATTTTATTCTTAAATTTATTATTGCGTGAATACACTCCTCCGTTCATGGTGTGTTTAGTTGGTCCGTGCAGGGGCTTTTTCTCCTTTGTATTTATCTGTGTGTCCTTTTTACTCCTGCCCCCTTCTCTCCTTAGGAAACCACTCTGGTGTGTTTGGAGAGTATCTTTTTTTTTTTTGCATTGGAGTCTCACTCTGTCGCCCAGACTGGAGTGCAGTGGCCACTCCCGGCCACTGCAGCCTCGACCTGCTGGGCTCTGGCAATCCTTCCACCTCAGCCTTCCAAGTAGCCAGAATTACAGGCATGCACTACCTCGCCTGGCTGATTTTTTGGTTTATTGTAGAGATGATGTCTCGCTGCCCAGGAGGGTCTCGAACCCGTGGACTCAGGCAATCCACTCACCTCAGCCTCCCAAAGGCGCGGGATTACAGGCTGAGCCACCTGGCCTTAGTTGATGTGTGTATTCTTATTCACAAAACGGTGTTCTTTGTTGTATCAACTCCTTGCACAGCAGGCAGTACTGGGGTAAACTCTGCCCGTCTCCTTCCTCAGCTCCTTTTTTTCTTTTCGAGTTGGAGTCTTACTCTGCCGCTCAGCCTGAAGTACAGTGGCACACTCACAGCCACCGCAGCCTTGACCTCCTTGGTTCCCGTGATCCTCCTGCCCAGCTTCCTGAATCGCTGGGACTACAGGCACACGCCATCATGCTTGGCTAATTTTTAATTTTTTTTTTTTTGGTAGAGACGAGGTCTCACTATGTTGTCTATGCTGGTCTCAAACTACCAGGCTCAAGCAGTCCTCTTTAGCCTCCCAAAGTGCTGGGGTTACAGGCATGTGCCACCGCACCTGGCAAGACATTGTTCTAATGACGTTGCAGGCATTAGCTCATGTGCTTAACCCTGCACAGAAGCACTGGGAGGTAGGTTCAGTACTGAGATCCACTCAGCAGATGAGAAAACGAGACACAGAAAGATCAAGAAGATGCCTGGCCAGGCGTGGTGGCTCACGCCTATCATCCCAGCACTTTGGGAGGCAGAGGTGAGAAGACTGCC